CTGTCATTAGCCATTAATTGAATTGGGTGATTACTTTATGGGAGATACCTTGCTAAGTGTTTCACTTGCATTATTTTATTTAACCTTTACAATGGCCCAATGAAGTAGAGCCAATTATTACGTGTTTACATATAAAGAAACTGAGGAGGTTTAATATCTTGCACAATAGGAAAATACTTTTTTTCGAATGAATTCACTAGTCATTGTTTAGGCTTGAGGGCTTTTTTCCACATGCCAAAGAAAAGGGGCACATACCAAACCTGACAAGCTCAGGGGGCCTGCGTGGGGCCTTACACGCTCAGACACCTAAAGCAACCACAAAGGATGGCCTGAAATTAAAAACTTCCTAATTACAAGCAGGTCATGGCGGGTGGTCATATCCTAGGCTGGTATGTTTCCCTAACAAAGGTCACCAAAGGGTGACCTTAACTGAGCCTGTCTGGTTGCCTTTTATGCCTCTATGGTAACATACCTTTTGAATATCAAACTTCCTTTTTCTGGACCCCTCCAAGCACAGGCACTGCACCAGGGGGAGACCACAATTCCCCTCCTGGTTACTGTTACCATGTTAATTGTTGACTATTAACTATCCTGTACTCACCTGTGTAAGTGTAAAAATGTCTATCGTTTTACTTTTTTATCCAATCCCAGAGGTTTCCCTGCTTTGCTTCCTCCGGCCTCCCTAATCTATCACCAGTGGATTTCAGGGGACCCCTTACGCCTCCCCTTTTGAGTGTAACGTGTAAAACAAGGTGCAAAACTGCCATTCTCCAGAGCATTTTCTCAACTTGCTGAGGTTTTGCTTCCCAGCAATTATCGTCAGTTTAGCTCAAATAAACTCATAAAAATTCTTAGAGGTTTGAGTGTTTCTTATGACACATGATATTGCAAGTCCCTCTAGAACACTTTGTAATTAGTCAAACTGACTTCAGTGTTTTATGATGACTGATCAAGCTATGTCCCCTTTGATTTTTCACATTGCTAGCCTGTGGCACAGGAAAGATCTGAACCTGTGCATGTCTTTCCAATACCAGAGCACATGCTTTCAGCCCCTTATTCTAAGTGGTTTCCATTACTAAAACACTAAACAAAATTAGGTGGAAGACAGCTTGGTAGTTCCTCAAAAAAAATTACATAGAATTAAAGTAATTAAGAACAGGGACACAAACAAGTATTTGTTCGCCAGTGCTCATAGAAGTGTTGTTCACAACAGTCAAAAGATGAAAACCATCAAATGTCCATGAATGGTTCAGAGTCAAGAAAATGTTGTATTTACATACAATGGAATATTATTCAGCCTTAAAAAGAAATTGAATTCCAATATATGCTACAACATGCATGAACCTTGAAAACATTAGACTAAGCAAAATAAGCCAGAAGAATATTATGAGCTATATAGAATAGTCAAATTCATAGAGACAAAATAGAATGGTGGTTACCAGAGCCTAGAGGGGAGAGAGAACAGGGAGATATTGTTTAATGGGGGCGAAGTTTTGGTTTGGAAAGATGGAAAAGTTCTAGACAATGGTAGTGGTTGCTCCCAAATGTGAATTGCACACTCAAAAACAGTTAAAATGGTACATTTTGTTATATATATTTTCCCACAATAAAGAAGTAATTAGGATGTAGGTTTGCACTAAAATATAAAAGTTAGAGCCACAGAACAAAATAGTAGTATAATTTGAGATCTCCTTTGTAAAAGTTCTCCTAACATTAATCAAATAAGCAACTCTTATTGAGTCCGGCAGTACTATAAATCTTACACTTTATTTTCACTAAATAAAGATCAACATAAGTAACAAGGAGAAAAAGTCTTTCAATATCAGTATCAGATAGTGTCAGGATGAATTCTAGCAAGAACAGCTTATCTCAAGGGACATCCAGTAACATTTTATCTTATTCCATAATTACCTTCAAAATGAACCAAAGCACTTTCCACGAGAAATAGATCTTGAAATATTACTCAGGAAAATTGGTTTGAATTTTCTTCAAACCAATATTGGGAATAGTAAACACTTTGAAAGAAATATTAAGCACTTTTTCATCACATATTGGGATTCTTTTCAGCAATATTTTTAAAATAATTAAATTGGCTCATTTTGGTGCCCTAGATTCTGGCCCGATTTGATTATTTATATTAAAATATGGAGATCAAAATGACCTAGGCATTAATGTTAATTGATTAGTCAGTGCTTTTTTCTTTGTTATTTTTGTTTCTTGGTGGGAAGCTTCACAGCAATCAAATAAAATTTTACCTTGTGCTCTCAACCCAGAGCTATCAAAGGCGCCAAATCATCTTTATTATAAGATTTACTGATCTTAAAAAAATTAGTTTTATCATATACAAACTCATATTCATCAGAATATTATAGGCAACTCCTCATGCCCCATTTTGTCATTGTTTGGACTTCGGATTTGCTTTTTTCCTGTGCCTGAACTTCTCATTGTCACTGCTTCTTGTAATGTTTCAGGCTCCAACCCACACGTCACCTTCCCAGAGAGACCAGCCCCGGCCATAGCCAACCTGTCATGGTCTCCACCATTGTCCTGTCACACTTCATAAGATCACCCAGAGCTACCTCCTTGGTGACACGTTAGCATTCTCTGAAGTTACCTGGATTTGGTTGCTTGTCTGTTTTTCGCCTTCCACCATTAGGACATGCTTCCCGAGGGCAGGGCGAGGGCCATCTTGGCCCCTCCTGTACCGCTCCTGTCTAGCAGTAGAGAGACTGATAGGAGGTGGATTTGCCCTGCTGCATCTGCCTGTGTATGTAAACAGACAGAGAGCCTCGCCCCCAGGAAGCACAGATGCCTGCTCTGCTCAGCTCTTCTCTTTACGGGTGCTACAGCGGGGTCATCTCCTTGGGCTGGGCAGCTGGACAACAAAACAGTGGCAACCTAGAGGGCGCTAGGACAGAACTGCTTGCTCCTTAACCCCGACTCTACCCTGACCTAGTTCTTCCACAGCTTCTTGAAGGTACTTACAAAAGTGGTACCTTTTTCTCGTTGGCCACACTTCCATGGTTCTGTAACTTTCTTGGGCACCCCATGAGAGAAGGGCTGGCTGATTTGAGGATTTAAACATTTCTGTGTTTTCTCTTTCTAATGCTATCTCCTAATCCCTTAAAATGACACATACCCTTAGCAAGTTACAAGCATGAAGCTGGCCCCTCTTGTCTACTCTGTTCTCTGAGGATCAGCCCCATGCACAGCCCGAGCTCTGAATCCCTAGGGAGTATAGTGAACCAAACAAATCAAATCCAAGCCTACTTGTCTTCCTATTTTTAGAGATGGTCAAATCAAGTAACATCACTGGTCTCTAGACCCTTGCCTTTACTACTTGATAAAGCAAAACAAAGCAACAGAAATAAGAGTGGACAAAGGTTTTCTTAAGACCATTTTCTAACTATATAACTTCAGGGTTCCTATGCAATATTTTGTATAGGTAGCAATGATCTGCCTGTAAATTATGAGTGAATAGCTGGGAACAAGGCATACTGATGAGTCAGATATTTTGTTTTTAAAAGGCTCTAACCAAAGTCTCAAAAACTAAGATTGTAGTAGGCTTCCAGTTGGCCCTGTAACCATGGCAAACAGCTGATTCTTCTCTGATAACAAAACAGAACTCCTTATCTTTAGAAGGCTCAGGGCCATACAAGATAAACTAACTTCCCCAGGTCCCTTGTATGTGCATGTGAATGAAAGTGACAAGCTCCAACCAGATCACGTGCTTAAAAGGAGTGGGCACAGCCTCCCTGCCCCCCTCCTCCTTCCCCGGTGGGAATTTGGGAGTGGCCCTGAGCCACACTGGGGCCAGAGGGGGACAGTGACCCTCCAGGGACGGAAAGAGGGGGAGGGAAGCAAGCCTGCCAGAGCCAGAGTCCCTAACCTTTCAGAGCCACTATCGCCTGTTCGTTATACTTAGAATATCTGCGGAAAGAAAAACGCCCATGCTCTCTAAACCACTGGTATTTCAGTTTCCGTTCCAGCAATCAAATGTACATTCCAACACAGTCAACTTTCCTTGATGAATTTGACGCTGCTTCATCATTTTCGCCAAGTGGCTTTACGATCTCAAAATGATAAACCTTTCGAGTTAAAAAAAACCTGTCAAGGCTAGCCTAGCCTTCACTTTATTCATGAGGAAACTGAAGATATAGGGAATAAATAAACGTCTCAAGCCACACAGGTAGCTGATAATAGGCCTGGTGCTCAGATCGGAATTTTAGTTCATTGTTCCTCTCCTTTAAGGTCCAACTAGCAGAACCCCCATGACTCTGGAGGCTCCCTCTGGGAGGTCTGGGCAACTTACTAGCTGGGACCTGGGGCCGCCTTTTCCCCAGACGACCTATAAGCACAGCTGCTACCCTGCACAGGCTGATGAGGCTGCTCCAGCTTCTACCGTGGAAGGAAGAGGGGTCACGGGAGGCCGTGCCTGGCTGCAGCACCCCTCGCTGCGGGATGACCGAGAATCCGGATCCCTGCCTCTATTCCCTTTCTTGCTGAGCCTGGTCTTGAAAGCTTCCCATTGATTCTATTTCTTGTGACCCAGCGTGTGGACTTCATCTAGGACCCTGGATCTTGGCAGGAGGAGGCTCAGAGAGCACCTGCTTAACCGCTTCAGTCTGTAGCACTATGAGTATCTATTATCATTCACATGCGGTTTGATAATATAAGACATTTTCTCTAACAACTAGCAAGAGATAGGGGTAAAGGGTCAAAGGAACGGCACAGAGAACAAACATATCATTTCATTTCAAGGTCTTCTATTGACCAGGTGCCCACAAACAGCTCCCTCTGGACAAAGGACATTGGTACTGTCGTGGTCCAGACAGCCGCCCAAAGTCCCGTGGAAAGTGGAAGGTAAAATCCAGCTGTTAGCATACAAGGTCTTTGGACTCACCCTTGCAGTACATTGCAATATACTTCAGAAACTAAGAGCTTATATTTGAATTCTGCAAAATTCTGTATTTTATGTACAACTATCATACATCTCTTACCATCCTCATTTTCATCAAAAACTGGGGGTTTGCTTGAAGTGCTGGCTCCCATGGTTGTCCGCCCAGGCCTGGGTCCTCAGTTACATAATCCTGGCAGAGACGTTCGCCTTCGCCCCACAGAGGTCTAGAAGCCTTAGCCAGACGTCAAGGAGAGAAAAAGAAATGATAGCTTTATAACACCTGACAAAGGAAAGGTGTACTCAAGGTACACTGAGTACAGACTGTGGCCAAAATGTTAACTTGTACCACTAGAGCAGAAATTTTTTGTACTCGAAAATGATAATTTCAGCAATAACAGAACATAAAGCATCTGGGATAACCCATTTCATGGACTCATTATGCACCTTGATTTACACAGGAGAAAAAAAGCAAAACATTTCTGGGTATGAAGGCAAGTTTAGAATGAGGTCAGCAGTACTTCAAGAACTACAAAATAAAAAACTTTAAACTCTTTCCAATGTGTGATCAACTTTAATTTTTTTAATTATAAAAATATACCCCCCCCCCAATCTCTTTTCTCCCACCCTACAATATAAAAAGAACAAGGTCTGAGTTTGGGCTTTGCCACCCAGCAAGTTCCTAAATTTTGCTGAATATGTTTCTTTTTTTCCCTTCCCCTGAACCTGTTCGTGGTCCTTCCTGCAAACGCAGATTAAGTGTTATTTCATGAGATAATAGGTAAAGTATTTCCATTGCGCAAGTGCTCGATAGCTGTGAGCCGTTTTGAAGCTCAAAAGAAATGACATATGCGAGAGCTAAAAAGCCCTGGAAAAAATATACGTTGATGGCTTTTTTTTTTTTCCTTTTTAAACTTAATCATAAAGAATTTTACTTCCCCTGAAGTTGGTAAGAAGAGGCAGCACCCGGAGCCCTGGTTCTAAAACTAACACAGAGAAATGGCTTTGGGCCAGTGACGTCGCCCCTCACCTGGAGAGTGGGGTAAACTACGGTGCCTTCCTTGGGAACCACAAGCTCAGGTATCTACAGGAGCCAGGCAGCAATGCAAACGAGCCAACCAGACCAGTGCCTGGTGGGGACACTGGCGACCCGGCGAATCCAGGCTCCATCTAAAAGAGGTCACTGCTCTCCAATCTAAGAGGCTGCTGCCAATAGAAACGTGGGCCCAGGAGCTGGATCTTCAGGCCTACCAAAAATGGGTGAAGATCAGGATTTTATACCAAATATTTAAAAATCCATTTTTAGCTCTGGGGCAAATATGGCTCATGGGACAGATGCAGTTCATGAGACAGTGTATGGAAGGCTACTAGCACAATGCCTGGCACGTCACATGTAGAGGATAAATGTTAGCTGCTTCTGTTTTTAATAGTAGCAGTATTTCCTTCGCATGTATTTTTTCATTTTTATTGATTTCGAGAGAGCAGAAGAGAGATACATCAATTTGTTGGTCCACTACTTTATGCATTCACTTAATTTGTCACCCGTTGACTGAGTTCCTCTTGGACTTTTTTTTCATATTCAGGAAATACAGATTAGAGACATGTTGAAGAAAGTGTCCCAAGGGAACCTGGCCTAAGGATGTTATTGAAAAAGAACTTGAGATTCTCATAAACAAGCCTAGAAGAAAAGCTCATTTTCCCGTTAGGAAAATGTAAGTAAAGCCTTCATTTGAAAGGCAGACTCATTACGGAACTGCTACTTTTCATACTAAAAGCCAACTGCTGGCAAAGTGCCTTATGAGCTTTAAAAAGAACCATTAAATAGGGAGCAAAGAAAGTGTCAGCAATTAGGAAGCAACCAATTAAGTGGTGTGGGAGAGGGGCAGGGAGGGGCAGGTGGTAACAGGTGGCTGGAGGAAGCCCAGGGGGATTATTGAGATCAGCAGATAGAAGGAACTCAGCTGTCTCTCCAGGCTCAAGAAACAAAGGGCTTTTAATTCCAGCGGAAAAGAGGGTAGGAGAAGCATGTGGGAAGCCTCAGTGTTTCATCGCGGGCCAGGAGGGAGCGATCAGGGGGCCCTGTGTGTTCTATTATTGCATCTACAGTCCAGAGTAAGTGGGGACCAGTGTAAGGGCTGAACCACAGACATCATTAGAGAAGATTGGTCCTAAAGAGAACATTGATTTTTGCGATTGTTAACACAGCAACTGGGGACGGGGGAGGGACAGGGGGTCTACATTCTCTCTTATTTCATATGTAAAGCCTCCCAGGCCATACAGTTTTCACACCACACCCCAATCCTGTCATCCTTATATATTTTCTTCACACCTCTGGCTTCTCTCCAGTAGCCTATCTTCCTGCAGCCCAGCATTGACTTTGCAAGTTGTCAAATCCGAAGACGAACGAGAGAGGACTATTACCGCAATTTGCCACATTTCAGAATTTCATGTTGATGTGCAGACTATTTTGCTCACCCAAGATCCCGTGATTTTTAGCAGGAAGAAACTATGTGCACAGGGGAGGGAAAGGTAGACAGCAATATTAGGTGGCAGCTTCTCCATTGCACCTAACACACCCAATCCAGTTAAGAATTGTCTTCCTCCTCTTCTCCCCATGTGGATAACCAATCAGGCAACTTTCCCTCATATCCAGAAAGAAATCAGCCTTCCTCTGCTAGGAAAGTGGAGACACGTGTTTTCTACTCTGCTGAACAGGGCCCAGGAGAACTATAGGACTCTTCTGCCAAACCTAACACCTTCCCGGCCTCCGGGTACTAAGTCTGCAGTGTAACATAAGCATCATTTCAAGATGTCAAGATGACAATCACCACCCATGCAAATGAACCTCCTAAACATAGAAAACATAAGAGAAAGAACAATGAGTCTTACACAAACACAGGTAGTTTTCTGATTCCACCTTGACCTAACCAATGGTCAGATTAACTGCAGACTCCTCTAATGCCAACATTTGACCTTTGGCCTACACTGTTAACGGCTTTTAACAGGTGAGCTTTTCTAAGCAGCTAAGTCTCCCTAGGTAAAGTAGGTGTCATGGTCAAGAACTGAAGAACCGAACCTAAGTGGTGATGCAAGAAAGTTGCAGCTTTTGACAAAACTGTTTACATTTCATTGCAACAGCATATGTGCAGGCATAGTATTTTGATTGCATATAAAAAACGGAACTTCTTAACCTGGGAAAGATTTAGAACCATAGGGAAGAAAGAAAATATCATTAAAAAAAAAACAAAAAAAACGCCACCACTCTCAGTTATATTGTTTACATTTCATCATTTTTGCTTCATCATTCTTATGTATTCAAAGTTATAGGTAAATATTATCTCCACCTTGACCCTCATGCCAAATTCAGTCCCTTTTCATACTGATACTTCCCAAAGGCAGCCACAACCATGACGCTAGCACACATTTTACAATCCACTTTCTACGACTTTACAACGCGAGGTGTTTTGAAGTAAGCCACCTAAATGACATCCTAGACTAGGTACATTTTGCAACTTTTGATCACTTACCACTATGCCTCTGCCATCTAGGCAGCCTGGTCTCCACAGCTCTGACCCGCTCGTTAAGTGCTGCAGAGCGGGCCACTGTGTGACTACACCACGTTTTATTTACCTGTGTTCAAATCCTTCAGCTTTAGGGGGGGAAAGTCCCTGTGGAGAGGAAGCCCACCATCAAAGGCAGTTTTGCTTGTCAAGGAGCCGAGTAAAAGAAACAAGCGTTGATACCTCCAGCCCTTATGTCCGCCCAGCAAACATCTTTTGAAGTCGGTGTGCGCCCGGACCGGAGTCGGTGGGAGGCTGGGGGATCAGGTCGGCGCAAGCGAGGATTGGCTCCAGCCCTATCTGGTGGTGGTGCGCTGTCTGGACCGCTGCCTTTGTCTTGTTTCTCTTCCCTTTTAACTTCCTAGCTTCCCGACACTGCCCTTAGCATGCAGGTTCTTTAAAAAGAAAAAGAAAACCTAGGCCACCACTCACCTAGATCTTGGTTCCCCCTTCACGCCTTCCAACACGCTGCGACGGGTGCTTCCTCACGGGGAGGGGAGCCGGGGCTCACAAGGGAAGTCCCTGAAATGGGGAGAGAGCAGGGGAAGGCACCCACCTGCCCGGGCGCAGGGGCGGCAACGAGGGCGGGGCGCGGCGGGGCGGGGCTGAGCCGCGCGGGCGGCACCTGCGCCTGCGGCTGTCCGAGGGGTCCGAGCGCCGTCTGAGCGCGCAGCTCGGCTCCGGGGTCTGGCACAGCGGGCGGGGGTTGGGGAGTAGCGAGGAGAAGGGGAGCGGCCAGCCAGCGGACGTCCTGGGCCCGAGCCCTCTCCAGAAACGGCGACCGGTCGCGCCTGGGGTCCGTGCTGGAAGACGGTGCTGCGGGCGGGGCTCCGAGCTGGTGGCTGGGATCCCACGGCGCCCTGGCACCTTCCCGAGCCGCCCCAACTTCTCTGACCGAGGAGGCCCCGTTCCCCTGAAGTGACCCCCTTCCCCTCCAAGGTCTCCGGGGCGGTGCCACCGAGTTTGGTGGCTGCGGGGATGGCGAGTGCGAGTGAGCTTGCAGATCTGAGATGGAGAACGGCGTGATTTCCTTTAAGACTTCCCTGGGCGTTCGGGGGAGAGCCGAGAGGGCTGAGGATTGTACAGGTCCCGACCTGGAGGATCTCGTAACAATTATGGTCTGGGGGACGTCTCCCTTTTACTGCTGGGGAAACTAAGGCACGGAGGAGAAAGCTGCTTGCCCATTGTAGCAGACCAGTTGAGGGAGAGACCTTTTATGAACCCAGGTCTCCTGGCTCCCAGCGCCCATTTTCCCCATGCATCTTAGTCACCACATCCTCTGCTGTGGAGGAGAGGGCGGGGGACAGTGCTTCAGAGATGAAGGCCACCTGACTGGAAGTTTCTCTGTCCCCTCCCATGGCAGCTGGCTGTGCTTCTCCTTTGTGATAACAAACGCGGTTGAAAAAACTCACGGTTTTCCTTCTCGAGTCACGCACGCTGAAGCCACCAGAGGACTAGCGTGCAGATCACTAGCTGAAGTGGCTTCAGCTGTGTGATAGGGGGCAGTGTGCCGGTGGGGTGGGGTGGGGACAGCTCCTATTCAGCTCCCGCATTTCCCTGCCCTGTGGAAATGCCAGCTCCGTGTTGCCAAATACTCAGGTTTTTAAAAGAGAAGCTGGAAACGAGAACGTCTGTGTGAAATCTCCCATTATTTTAAAACATCGGCAAGTTTGAAGGATGTTAGAAACTGTCTTTATCGGACAAGATGCATCTGTGGCTGAGCGGCCGTTTTCAGGCTCCTACTTTTTGATGTGTCCGGGGTGGAGTTCCACAGAGTGCAGGGACCTCACTGCGCGCCGGTGAGGAAGCAGGCTGGCTTTGTTCACCATTGGCAGTGCCTGCCCGGAGGGTGGTGTCTGATGCATCTCAAACGCCTGCACAAATTGGGAAAGACATCAGTGGTCTCCGCAGGGTCAAGAGCCCCTCCCTGATTCATTAACTACATCGGAGGAATACTCTTCTTATGTTACGACCTAGCCCCTTTCCTCTTCCTCTCGGCTCAGCCATGGCAACATCCTACCCTAGCACTTTGCAATTGGAATAACCTTGAACCTGGGTGAACCCACTCTCTCTTTGTATTTGGGGTCTTGGAGGATTTCCCCAAAGCGACACAGTGAGTTAGCAGCAGGACTCAGTGGGAACTTACCTTATGTTGCCAACTCCTGTCTGAGAGAGGATCAGGTGCTATAAATGAACACTTAACATGAAATTTGGATCAAGTACCAAAAGAGGACAGCCACATTTGGGGGCGGGTGGGAGAGAGGAATTTTTGAGAAATTCATCTTGGGAAATGGGTATTCTTTTCAAGGCAAAAATCAAGCCCTTAGCTGAAAATACATTTTTGTTTTGTTTTGTTTTTGTAACGTCTGGCAGTTTGCAAAGCACTTTGATTAACTTCATGGCATTGGGGATGCGCTACACATTGGCTGGACCTGTGCTGTCTCCCACTTCTCTCAGGAGAGGAGGATATCCATTTAATCGCTGAGAAAACTAAAAACGGCAAGAAAGTGGGCTGAGACTGGAATGGAAGTCTCTGGAATTCTCTTTATTTTAGTGGCCTGGTTAGCACGAAGGGCTCTGGAGTCAGGCAGTCTTTCACGCAAATGCCAGCTCCACCACTTCATACCGGTGAGACGTGGGCCGAGTCACACAGAGGCCCGGAGCCTCAGTTTTCCAACTTCAGTCAAGGGGGTAATGTCCTTCCTACCAGCTTTGACCAATGGAGGGCTCAATGTGACGGTGTTTGTAATAACGCACTTAGCACGGTGCAAGGCAGCGCAGGGTAAACACTCAGAAACTGCCAATGGGTAAGGTGGTCATTAATTAGCAGGTTACCTGGCTCTGCCCTTCTTATTCTCAGGTCTGTTCTGTAAAACTTTCTTCTGTTTGTACAACCACTTTCCCTTAAAATAACACTACTAATCAGTCCTAATGTAGTTAGTCATGGAAAGGCTTGGCATCCCATAGGTTTTATGGAGAAATAGTGATTCTTATTACTGTATCATATGCAGTCTATAAAAAGATCTGTTTCAAAGAACTAAGTGTGTTTTAATCTTTTATTTGTTCAGTTGTTCATACTCTCTTGTCAGCATTCCTGCCTTAAACATGCCTTTCGGAGGAACTCTGGGGAGACTGTCACAAAGAAGCTACTTGGGACGCAAACCAGGCCAGATACTTATGACAATCTCTGGCGCCCCCAGTGGAGAAGAGGAGGAAGTGAAGAGTAAACCAGGGAGAAAGTTAAATCCCTATATCCAGAATGTATTAAAAATTAAATAAAAGTCGCCTTATAGCATAAACATGAATATCACACCAATCCAACCATACCCATTTGTGGCTTGACATTGTCCACTGGGTTCCACTACATTTAAGCGACACTCGTTCCTCTAGCTGACAAGGCCTTATACCATCTGTTCCCTGACAATTTGTCCAGCTTCGTCTATAATCGGTGTTCCTTGGCTTATGCCCCTCAAGCCGCGCTGGCTCTCTGCCCTGGAGATCATGCTGGCCTTGTCCCCACCCCAGGACATTTGAATGGCTCTTCTTTGTGGATGTACATGGTCCTGGACCCCTCCCCCCTCAGCTGTCAGCTCACATTTCTCCAGCTCAGCAAGACCTCCCCTCAGCCCCTTACCTGAAGTTACTTCCCCACCACCTCCATGACACATCCTCAGCTCTCCACCTCACCACCCGTCATAAACTGTAATTAAGTTGCTCATGTCACTTCACTGCAGTGTCCTACTGTTGAACGCAGGCCTCAAGAGGGCAGGAGCGACACCTCTGCACATCCGGCGCTGAACCAGTGTTCGGAACACAGGCCGCGTTTACTTAGATAGATAAATATTTCCTATTTCCTTCCTTCTTGTCATTTCTTAATCCAGGAAGCAATTACAAAGAACACATATCACACCTCAAAGCAGTAACCAACCATTCTGATGACATAAATGAACCTTTACTGGGCTCTGTTTAAAGGGGACACAGATGAGTGAATGATCGTCGGACATGAGGGTTTTGTGGTTTGGGTAAAAGCAGCCATTACAGGCTGAGGTTGGTAGATGCCCGAGAGGCAGCCCCCAGAGCGCACTGGGTGAGTCAGTTTGTTTCCCCTGAAGGAGCCGGAAGCGTCAGGAATATTTGCCCAGTGTCTTGAGGGATGAGTGGAGGGGCACTGGACAGAGAGCAGGAGACTCCAGATCTGGAGACAGGAGGCATACAAAAGCATACTTGGGGAGAAATATAAAAGTTTAGTGTGAGCGGAGTATAAGGAGTATAGTATGAGCAAGAGAGGATAGGGGAGGACTGAAGAACCAAAAATGCTGTGGAAAGCAGCTTGAAGTTTAAACACACCAGCAAAGGGAAGCCCTCGGATGCGTGAAAGCGGACCTCATGAGGGCTGGGGTTTAGCAAGATCCCTCTGCCCTCCCCACATACGACAAAGCTTATGTTCTCTTGGTCTGATATGCAAATTATTCTCAGTTTCTAAAATGAGGACTTCTCCTTTGTGAAATAAGGAAATTCTCCTTGGTTATGAAATAACTAACTAGATCCTAGCACCATGTTTCATATTTAGCAAGTTTTCAAGTATTTGTTGAATTCAAGTTCATGTTCAGTTTTACCCGGTTGCCTGCTCCTTCCACCAACGCCATCGCTTTCGGAAACTGCATGCCATGACCTCCTGAAGTTGCCGTTTAGATTTTACCTTTGCAGAGACCCTCCGTTTTCTTTTCCAATTCCATTGAATAATTGCTGTTTAAAGTCTCTAACCTGCCTTCACACACTCTGCAACCTCAGGTCCGTGCTTTGTTAATAACCTATCCCACAGTGTTCTGTCATTTGCCCGTAGAGGGGACCGTCTCCTGAGAGGAGCCTGAGACTCATTGTAAATAGCCAATCCCAGCTCCTGAGAAGCAAGCATTCCCTCGTCCCTGCTTACTAAAACAAACACCTGAATAAGAGAAGCAGCGGAAAAAACAAGTACGCGGCAAAGCACAGGTGAAATGAACATTTATGGTGCCCACCCATGGGCTCATTGATTCCTCGGCATTCACTGAGGCGTGAATTATTTAATCGCTCTTCAGGAAGCTTGACGGTAGAGCAGCGTTGTTAAGAAAAAGCTTTGTTAGCATCAGAAAGACCTGGCTTTGTTTCCCGATTTCACCACCTGAAGTCCATGCCATCGTGAATGCCATTTTGACTCAGAGTCTTCATTTCTTGCTCTGTATAGTGTGGATACTAGTTGTAGACACTCCCAAGGAATATTGTGAGGATTCAGTGAAGTAAGGCATGAAAGCACTTAAGTGCCAATGCCTGGTGCAGAGAGATTACCTAATGGTTGCATCACTGTTATTAAACCAAATGTCTCTCTTTTGTATCAAACGTGTGAAAGAATGCCATCTCTGCAACTTCAACAGCACTGACTCTTTTTCAAAGACCATTGCTAGGAGACCTGGTTGCGACCCTGAATGGGACAAACACTTTATTAGGGAGCTCTTCATCCACTGAAAATTCAGGCAAGTTAGCTGGCAATTTCAATACAGGGTAATGGGGCTCTGATTCCAGAT